AATCCCAACAATTTGGAAGGCCAAGGTGGATGGATCACGTGAGGTCAGGAGTTCAAGACCAGCCTGGCCAAAATGGCGAAACCCCATCTCTACTAAAAATACAAAAATTAGGTGGGTGTGGTGATACATGCCTGTAATCCCAGCTACTCAGGAGGCTGAGGCAGGAAAATCGCTTGAATCTGGGAAGCAGAGGTCGCAGTGGTGAAATAGCCCCATTGCACTCCAGCCTGGGCAACAGAGAGAGATTTCGTCTCAAAAAACAAAAACAAAAAACAAAACAACAACAACAACAAAAAAAGACTTCTAACCCTGATCAAACCAGATTATTTTGAATGAAACGTCTCTCTCTCTCTCTCTCTCTCTCTCTCTCTCTTCTATGGGCAGTTCTGTGTGTAGAAAGATCAGTCCCTGTGTGTAGTGATTTAACCTGGTTTATCTCTTCTTGGCTCAGAATTTTTGATAGGGCTTTCACCTAGGCCACAGAGAGAGAACCAAAGGGAAGACCCAAACATTTGAATGGCATAACGAGTAAATCACATTTCTCTTTGTCTGTTTCCTTATCAATAAATTGAAAAGTTTGCTCTATGTGATCTCTGGGGTACTGCTCAGCTCTTGACATTCTGTGGTTCTGAGTACTGAATTGAAAGCAGCTCTCCTCTTCCTGAATTCTTCTTCCTTGGACCAAACCTCTGTCTTCATTTCTCATCTGTTTATACCTCGCTGCCCTATTTCTTTCTCCTGGGTGTCCTTTCTTCCTCAATTTCCTCAAATCCTTCTTGCTTCTTAGCTCCTTCATATCCTTTTTGTTTTCTATGTTTCTGCAGAACCCCAGATTACTCCCCAGGTCTCCAGTTCTCCATCTTCATGTCTGCCTATTCCTTTCTGCATCACTGGCTCCTAACTCAAGCAATCTCCTTGGGTTCCTCTGAGGGGCCCCTGGGATCCGCTATCATTGGTCCCTCTCACAGAAGCATACCCTTCTCCAGAGCCAAAGGATCAGATATTCAGTGGCTCAGGTAACAAACCTGCTGTCAGGTTACAGATATTGTTTGCTGAAAGACCACACTACAGTGTCAGTGGAGCCTCAAGCTGCCTGCAGTGCCCTGCCCTCACCTGGCTATCCCACAGGTGAGAATAACCAGGACTCACCACTTCCAGTACCAGTGTTCACCTGGAAACATGGCTTTGAGCCTCTGGCCACTGCTGCTGCTGCTGTCCTGCGCAGGTGAGAACAGTGAGCAGAACTGGGGATGAGGAGGAGGAGGGTGGCTAGAAAAAGACATTAAGAATGTGGAGGTTAACCTGTTAGATAAAAGGAAAAAGGAGGGAGGCAGAGACTTGTGCAAAGGAAGACAATGAAGGTTAAGAAAGGCAGGCCAAGACTTACTGTGAGCCAACCAACAGGGCTCAGCTCACCATCCCCTCACCTCATCTTTAGATCCAGGTAGGGAATGGTGCTCAGGGGCAGGGCTCTTTGGGCTCCAGGTTCCTCCTCTTTAGTAACCTCTGGTTTCTCTCCTTACAGTGACTCTGGCCCCTACTGGGCCTCAGTCCCTGGACCCTGGTCTCTCCTTCCTGAAGTCATTGCTCTCCACTCTGGACCAGGCTCCCCAGGGCTCCCTGAGCCACTCACGGTTCTCTACATTCCTGGCCAACATTTCTTCTTCCTTTGAGCCTGGGAGAATGGAGGAGGGACCAGTAGGAGAGCCCCCACCTCTCCAGCCCCCTGCTCTCCGGCTCCATGATTTTCTAGTGACGCTGAGAGGCAGCCCCGACTGGGAGCCAATGCTAGGGCTGCTGGGGGATGTGCTGGCACTGCTGGGACAGGAGCAGACTCCCCGAGATTTCTTGGTGCACCAGGCAGGGGTGCTGGGTGGACTCATGGAGGTGCTGCTGGGAGCCTTAGTTCCTGGGGGTCCCTCTACCCCAACTCGGCCCCCATGCACCCGTGATGGGCCCTCTGACTGTGTCCTCGCTGCTGACTGGTTGCCTTCTTTGCTGCTGTTGTTAGAGGGCACACGCTGGCAGGCTCTGGTGCAGGTGCAGCCCAGTGCAGACCCCACTAATGCCACAGTCCTCGATGGGAGGGAGCCAACTCCTCACTTTTTGCAGGGTCTGTTGGGTTTGCTAACCCCAACAGGGGAGCTAGGCTCCGAGGAGGCTCTTTGGGGTGGTCTGCTACGCACAGTGGGGGCCCCCCTCTATGCTGCCTTTCATGAGGGCCTGCTCCGTGTCACTCACTCCCTGCAGGATGAGGTCTTTTCCATTCTGGGGCAGCCAGAGCCTGATTCCAATGGGCAGTGCCAGGGAGGTGAGTGTGGCCAGGGCTGGGGTTGGGATGTGGCAGGGCAAGAAAAGTGAGATTGGGGTAGTTCTCTTCCTTACTCTTTTCCTCCTAGGTAGCCTTCAACAGCTGCTCTTATGGTAAGTAAGAGCGGACCACTTCTGAGGGAATGGGCTTGGGAAGTCTGGAGGTGGAGAGCTGAAGACATGAGCCTCCAGAGAGGAAGTAGAAACTGATGGGAGGAGTGTGGTTTAGTGGTTTTGGAGTGAGCTGGTGTCCCAGCTCCACCTCTTCCTAAGCCATATGACCTCAAGCAGGTTACATAGTTTTTCTATACTTTAGTTTCCCCATTTATAAAACAAGAATAATATTAGTTACCACAGAGTTGTTGCACAGGATTAAATGACTTGATACTGTATATGCAAACAAAACACTGCTGGCACCTAGTGGTTAATACGTTAGCTAATAAAGATGGGATATGAAAAATAAGGACACAAATGGATTCCTCTACCCCCTTACCACTTCAGTGCAACAGTGCCAGAGCATAGTTAGACATATTGAGTTGCTGAGCAGATTTCCTGACAAGAGGCCCGCTGAGGGTTGTGTTTAAGCTATCTAAAAGCATATGAAGAAAGGAAACAAAAAGGGGCCAGGTGGACAGAAAGAATACTAACTGGGTCTTCTCCTAGGTGATTTTGGGTCTTGGCAAGGCAGCTGTCTCCCTTTTGCCCCATTGCAACATTTCAGCCACTAATGCCTAAACTCTCAGGAACCTCACTTGTAAAAAAGCCCATGCTTGCCATGTCCCTTGAGGGGCTCTAGGTCAGGGTCAGAATCTTCAGCTGGAGGAAATGTGAACTGACCAGATCCTGCCTGCTCCTCCCTCTGCACCCAGGGGCATTCGACACAACCTTTCCTGGGATGTCCAGGCGCTGGGCTTTCTGTCTGGATCACCACCCCCACCCCCCGCCCTCCTCCACTGCCTGAGCACGGGTGTGCCTCTGCCCAGAGCTTCTCAGCCCTCAGCCCACATCAGCCCACGCCAACGGCGAGCCATCACTGTGGAGGCCCTCTGTGAGAACCAATCAGGCGCAGCACCACCCTACAGCATTTCCAACTTCTCCATTCACTTGCTGTGCCAGAACACCAAGCCTGCCACTCCACAGTCCCCTCCCAGCACCACTGCCATCTGTCAGACAGCTGTGTGGTATGCAGTCTCATGGGCACCAGGTGCTCAAGGCTGGCTACAGGCCTGCCATGACCAGTTTCCTGATGAGTTTCTGGATGCAGTCTGTAACAATCTCTCCTTTTCAGCCCTGTCTGGCTCCAACCGCCGCCTGGTGAAACAGCTCTGTGCTGACCTGTTCCCACCCCCTACCAGCTGCCCTGAAGGCCTGCCCCCTGTTCCCCTCACCCCAGACATCTTCTGGGGCTGCTTCTTGGAGAATGAGACTCTGTGGGCTGAGCGGCTGTGTGGGGAGGCAAGTCTACAGGCTGTGCCTCCCAGCAACCAGGCTTGGGTCCAGCATGTGTGCCAGGGCCCCACCCTAGATGTCACTGCCTCCCCACCCTGCTACATTGGACCCTGTGGGGAACGCTGCCCAGATGGGGGCAGCTTCCTGGTGATGGTCTGTGCCAATGACACCATGTATGAGTCCCTGGTGCCCTTCTGGCCTTGGCTAGCAGGCCAATGCAGGATAAGCCGTGGGGGCAATGACACGTGCTTCCTAGAAGGACTCCTGGGCCCCCTTCTGCCCTCTCTGCCACCACTGGGACCATCCCCACTCTGTCTGGCCCCCGGGCCCTTCCTTCTTGGCCTGCTATCCCAGTTGCCACGTTGTCAGTCCTCTGTGCCAGCCCTTGCTCACCCCACACGCCTACACTATCTCCTGCGCCTGCTGACATTCCTCTTGGGTCCAGGGGCTGGAGGGGCTGAGGCCCAGGGGATGCTGGGTCGGGCCCTACTCCTCTCTAGTCTCCCGGACAACTGCTCCTTCTGGGATGCCTTCCGCCCAGAGGGCCGGCGCAGTGTGCTACGAACGATTGGGGAATACCTGGAACAAGAGGAGGAGCAAGCAACGCCACCAGGCTTTGAACCCACTGTCAACCCCAGCTCTGGTATAAGCAAGATGGAGCTGCTGGCCTGCTTTAGTGTGAGTGCTCTGCCAGAGCGAAAGCTCCTAGAACAGTGAGAAGGGCCTCCAGGGGAATTCCTTGAATACTGAGAGGCAGTAGTGTAGGGTAGTAGTTTAAGCACACAGCTCTAGAGTCAGACAGGCTTGGATTCATATCTTGGTTCTGTTACCAGCCTTGAATGAATTGTTTAACTTCTCTGAGCAATAGTTTTCTCTTCTACAAACTGGGGATGATAATGGTATATGAGATAATACGTGCTGTGGGCTTAGCACAGTGCATCATACATAAACGTGCAGTAAATGTTACCTTGCTATTCTTTTGGGTTCTTTGACTCTCCCCCTTTCTGTGCCAGAAAGAAAAGGGATCAAGTTAGAGGACTCTAGTTTTTCCCCTAGAGAGTGAGAATTGGAGGCTGGCCGAATACAGGAAGATAGGGCAAGAATGAGAAAGATTCAGGGACACTACCGATCAGAAGACTTTGGTTCTAGGTTCAACGGTGCCACAAATTAGTGTGATCTTAGGCAAGCAATTTGATTTAGTTTTTCTGGGCTTCAGGTTTTACTCCGTAGAATGGAGGGGTTAGAACATGTTAAATACCACAAGTCATTCACTGAGTGCCTGTTATATGCAAGGTACTTTGCTAGGTTCTGTAGGATATATATAGACTCCTTACTCCATGTTAGGGCCACCTTTTTTCAAGCCCTGGACCCAGTAAAAGGGAATTAGATAGTCATAGTATTTGGTTCAGGTCTACAAGTATTTATTGAGCCAACTATGAACCTGGCATGGGAGAGGGTATGAGAGAAATTAGAGACATTATCCTGGACCTAAACGAGCTTAATAGCTGAAGAATCATACTTGAGATGAAGGACAAGCATCCCAGCAAGTGGAGTTGGAATCCCTCTAGAGCTGCAAGAGAGACAAAGAAGACAGCTCTGTTGGCATTTTGTTTTTCTTCCCACCAGCCTGTGCTGTGGGATCTGCTCCAGAGGGAAAAGAGTGTTTGGGCCCTGAAGATTCTAGTGCAGGTAAAAATTCTAGTGGAGGGCACAAGGGTGGGCTGGGTGACAGCCTGGCTGGAGGTCCCTGCTCCCTGAGGCCATACCTGCCATGACCTGCCATTTGCAGGCGTACCTGCACATGCCCCCAGAAAACCTCCAGCAGCTGGTGCTTTCAGCAGAGAGGGAGGCTGCACAGGGCTTCCTGACCCTCATGTTGCAGGGGAAGCTGCAGGTGAGCATAGAGGGAAAGGGGAGCAAGGGCACCTGGAGCCTAGTGTTCAGAGGACTTGCCTTAGTGGGAGGAGGAACTCCAGAGAGGAAATGGCAGGTATACTGAGCATCTTCAGAGCCAGAATCCATTCCTGTGCCCCTACAGGTAACACCATCCGAGGAGCAGGCCCTGGGTCACCTGACAGCCCTGCTGCTCCAGCGGTACCCTCGCCTCACCTCCCAGCTCTTCATTGACCTGTCACCACTCATCCCTTTCTTGGCTGTCTCTGACCTGATGCGCTTCCCACCATCCCTGTTAGCCAATGACAGTGTGTAAGTTTCCTGCACTTCTCATCCTGCTCCTGTTAGGGTCAAGCCAGCAGCCCCATCCACCTGGATCAGCCTCTTCCAGAGCTCCTCTCTGTTTTTTTTTCTTTCGTGCCAGATAGGTAATGTGCCAACATGTTACAAGGTTTGAGAGGCACATCTCACACCTGAGTGAAAACCCAATCATCATGCTGATGAACTATAAAAGGATCAGAGAGCTCCTCTCTGTTAAAACCAGGGAGAGTCTCCTTCCTATCTAGACACCAGGGCTACAGAGGGCCAGGGAAAACCAGTTTGGAAGAAGACAAAGGGTTAAGACCCGTTACTTCCCGCAGCCTGGCTGCCATCCGGGATTACAGCCCAGGAATGAGGCCTGATCAGAAGGAGGCTCTGGCAAAGCGACTGCTGGCCCCTGAACTATTTGGGGAAGTACCTGCCTGGCCCCAGGAGCTGCTGTGGGCAGTGCTGCCCCTGCTCCCCCACCTCCCTCTGGAGAACTTTCTGCAGCTCAGCCCTCACCAGGTATGAGAATCATCTTCTTTACTTGACTGACCCATCTTCTGCTAGTGGGGATGACAGTCAATGGCATGTCTCTCAGTGGCACCTCCCTGCAAGAGCTCCACAGTGACCCCAGTGTGAGCTGACCTTCCCCATCTCAGATCCAGGCCCTGGAGGATAGCTGGCCGGCAGCAGGTCTGGGGCCAGGGCATGCCCGCCATGTGCTGCGCAGCCTGGTAAACCAGAGTGTCCAGGATGGCAAGGAGCAGGTACGCAGGTGAGTTGTCATGGGATCAGTAATCAAGGCCAGAGTGAAAGAGGTAGAGAGAGGAAGGTACAGATGTCATGGTGGGTCAGTGTTTTAGGAAGGAAGGGGCAAGAAGCAGGCAGTGGCCCCAGGCAGCATAGAGTTCCAGGAGAGAGGTCTATAGATGGTGCCCCTGTGTTGTGGCATAGTGGTCAGAGTGCCCAGTGTATGTACCCACACCATCTGCTGCCAGGCCTGCCTTAGTGCCAGCCTCAGGGGCCACATGAAGGTCAGCTTCATGCCCTCCTCAGGCTTGGGTCCCTCGCCTGTTTCCTGAGCCCTGAGGAGCTGCAGAGCCTAGTACCCCTGAATGATCCGATGGGGCCGGTAGAGCGGGGGCTGCTGGAATGTGCAGCCAACGGGACCCTCAGCCCAGAAGGACGGGTGAGCCCCCTAGCACAAGCCTACAAGACTCTAGGCTTCCCCTGGGTCTGTGTGGATGGCTTTCCCATTGTGTCAACCAAGCTTGAGCACAGCGGTGCCAGCCCCCATTCCACTTTTGCAACCACCATTCCTTACTCCACGGCCATACCTGTTACCACCTCTTTCTGGCCCTTCCCTATCTGGTCTGTGGCATCCCAAACATACCCTTTGCCATTTTGAACCTAATCCATTCCAGTCCAGTCCCTAGTTCCAAACCCTAGCCCAGGCCCTGGGAAATTGAGAGAGGAAGAAGGTTCATCTGTCTTTTCTCTCCAGTCCCAAACCTTCTTTGGTTACAGGTGGCATATGAACTTCTAGGGGTGTTGCGCTCATCTGGAGGAGCAGTCCTGAGCCCCCGGGAACTGCGGGTCTGGGCCCCTCTCTTCCCTCAGCTGGGCCTCCGCTTCCTGCAGGAGCTGTCAGAGCCCCAGCTTAGAGCCATGCTTCCTGTCCTGCAGGGAACTAGTGTTACACCTGCTCAGGTTTGCCTGTCTTACTCCCTGGCATTCACCCTCCATCCCTGCTTGAGTCCCAGTCAAGTGAATCACATTCAGGGAAAAAACCAGCCCCTCCTTTCCCTGGGTGAACAGTAGAGATAAACTGTCCGCGGGAAGACACCTTCATTCACCTTCCTCAGATCAAGAAGTTACCTGAGTCACTGAGGGTGGTTACTGGGAATGGTTAAGAGGGAGTGGGAAGTTTTGGAGGGCTTGCCTTAGGAAGGCTGCTAAGGACCTGGCTGCTGGGTCCTGAGAGCTGTTGTTTTTGGTCCCATCCCTACACAGGCTGCCCTGCTGCTTGGACGGCTCCTCCCCAGGCACGATGTGAGTAGCAGCAACTTCTCAGCCTCCCACCAGAGGTCTCCCCTTCTTCCCTGGCTCCTGCATCTGCCCCTCCTCCCTCTCCGCTCCCGTCGTGCCTTGCTGCCTTGTGATTGTTGTCTTCCCCACCACCCTTCCCTCCTTCTTCAGGCCTTGTCTCTCTTGCTCTTTAGCTATCCCTGGAGGAACTCTGCTCCTTGCACCTTCTGCTGCCAGGCCTCAGCCCCCAGACACTGCAGGCCATTCCTAGGAGAGTCCTGGTTGGGGCCTGTTCCTGCCTGGCCCCAGAACTGTCACGCCTCTCAGCCTGCCAGACCGCAGCACTGCTGCAGACCTTTCGGGTATGAGAGTAGCAAGGAGGATGAGACAATCAGGGATATGGGCTCTCTCTGGTTGGAAGACATCTTCCCTGTGGCCAGGGAAGCCCATTCATACCTCCCCACTGACACACACACACAAACAATTCTCATGCAGGTGAAAGATGGCGTTAAAAATATGGGTACAACAGGTGCCGGTCCAGCTGTGTGCATCCCTGGTCAGGTAAGTGTGAGATCTCCCAGGTGAGCTCCTCTCTCCATTCCAGGGCAGTTTCATATGGCTGGTGCTGCCTCCCACACTACCCTGCGGTGGCCCTGAGAGTTCAGGTTAGCTCTTTACCCATTAGCAGTTCCAGATGCAGGACAGCATGACCCACATTGTCCTAGAATGTCAAATCTGGAAGGGCCTGAGAAATCTTCCAGGCCAACCACCTGCTTTCAGATGAAAAGACCAATGCTCAGAGAAGCTAAGGGACTTTGTTCATCTGGTGCCTAACTAGAAGCAGCACTTGACCACAGCAGCCTGCAGTGTGAGGCTCTTAGGCATTTATTGATACAGTAGCAAATGCCATTCCACTTCTGCCCTAGCTTTGGTCCCTTTCCGCCCCCATGGTTCCTTTTCTCTGAGTGCTAAGTCTAGACTCTCTCACTACACTGCTATACCCATCACCGCCAGCAGCCTATTTCCACCACCTGGCCAGATTGCCTGCTTCCCCTGCTCCCATTAAAGCTACTACAACTGGATTCCTCAGCTCTTCTGGCAAACCGAAGACGCTACCGGGAGCTGCCCTGGTCTGAGCAGCAGGTGATTCTCCCCACTTAATTTCAGAACTCCCTCACTCAATGTAGTCTATCTTCTGTACCCATCCCTCAGCCCTATTTGGCCAGATTATCCTTAGTATCCTTTATTGATTGATTGATTGATTGATTGATTGAGACAAAGTCACTCTGTTGCCTAGGCTGGAGTGCAGTGGCATGATCAGAGTTCATTGTAACCTCAAACTCCTGAGCTCAGGCAGTCTTCCTGCCTCAGCCTCCTGAATAGCTAGGACTACCGGCGGTTACCACCATGCCTGGCTCATTTTTAAAATTTTTGTAGAGACAGACAATACAAAAATGTGAACACTATATTGAGACACTATGTTGAGGTATCATGTTGCCCAGATTGGTCTTGAACTCCTGGCCTCAAGCAATCCTCCTGCCTTGGCTTCCTAAAGTGCTGGGATTACAGGCCTGAGCCACCACACCTAGCCCCTTAGTATCCCTTATAATGTGACTTGCTTTTCTTTTTCTTTCTCCTTCCCTTTTCTTTCATTTCTTTCTCACTCTCTCTAATGAGGAGTGGGCATCTGGGAGAGTGGGAGGCTGGTAGGTCCCACAGAGTGAAGAGGCAGGACTGGGTCCAAAGCATTCCTGCCTCTCCACTCTAGGCAGTATCCTTGAACAATGTCTCTTCTGTGAAGTGGCTCATCTTCCTTTCTCTTGTAGGCACAGTTTCTCTGGAAGAAGATGCAAGTACCCACCAACCTGACCCTTAGGAATCTACAGTGAGTAACTTGTGTTGAGCAGTGAACTGAATTCAACCAACATTTTTTTTGAATGCTTACTGTGTGCCAGGCACCATGTGATATGGAACGGGGGAATATGGGGATGAATGATGCATAGTTCCTGCCTCATGGACATTCTCCTAGCTCCTTTCTTTGCCCTCCTGTCCTTCCGCAGTGCCATGCCTACCCTGACTAGAACCAAAGGACTCAGAAAACCTGGGTTCAGGTTCTAGTCCTGTCACCTACTTGTGCTCTTGGGCAAGTCATTTAACCTCCCTGTGTCAGTTTTCGCTCTTTAAATGAGAATTAAAATGGCACCAGCCTCATAGGTAGTTATTATGAAGATTAAATGAGGTAAGTCATATAAGATATTTAACACAGTGCCTGGCCTGTTGTAAACTCCCAGTAGACGTTTTCTACTATTAGTTTACTTCAGGGTGACTTCTGGCCAAGCAAGAATAAATAGGAATAAGAAGGTATCACTTTACTTACACCCACAGTAAAAGAACCATGGGCTTCGGAATCTTTTTTTTTTTTTTTTTTTTTTTTTTTTTTTTTTTGTCTGAGATGGAGTCTTGCTCTGTTGCCTAGGCTGGAGTGCAGTAGTGGCACGATTTCAGCTCACTGTAACCTTCGCCTCCCAGGTTCAAGCAATTCTCCTGTCTCAGCATCCAGAGTAACTAGGAATACAGGCATGCGCCACCATGCCCAGCTAATTTTTGTATTTTTAGTAGAGATGGGGTTTCACCATGTTGTCCAGGCTGGTCTTGAACTCCTGACCTCAGGTGATCTGCCCACCTCAGCCTCCCAAGGGCTTCAGAATCTACAATATGGCTCTAGTTTCAGTTTACCACATTTCTAGTAGAATAATGTTGAGAATGTCACCTGACATCTGTAAATTCTTTTCTTCTCTGATAAACAGCAGTGATGTTATGGGAAGCTGATGAGAATATATTAAAACATTGCTCAAACCATAAATTGCCGTAAATGAAGATCTGTACTTGTGTTGAGAGTACTGATATCAAGGAGCAGACAGTCTGTGGCATGTGTTGAATGAGCATCTACCCACTCACATACCCACAGGGCTCTGGGCACCATGGCAGGGGGCATGTCCTGTGAGTTTCTGCAGCAGATCAACTCAATGGTAGACTTCCTTGAAGTGGTGCACATGATCTATCAACTGCACACTAGAGTTCGAGGGAGCCTGGTGAGAGGTGGTGCTTGGACATTAGTGGGAGCAGGGAGGCTGGGACCCTAGGTATAGAACCCAGCTCTTATGTTCTGCTCTGGCCTCATCCTGCTTCCCTACAGAGGGCCTGTATCTGGGCAGAGCTACAGCGGAGGGTGGCAATGCCACAACCAGAATGGACAACTCTAGGGCCAGAACTGAATGGGCTGGATAGCAAGCTACTCCTGGACTTACCGTAAGTACTACAGCTGGAGATATTGGCCCCTCAGAAAACTCAATCTAGGGTGAAGATCTACCCTTAGGGAATGCCCTAGAGGAGGTGGTTTTTCTGTCTGGTAGTTCCCTGACATCATTTATAGTCCAAAGCAGAAGACTCTATTCAAAGTTGCTCTGTGTATTGACTGGTTCCCAGAAAATGGCACCAGCATGGGGCAGCTGAGGGTGGCAACACTGTATTGAGGCCTACCAAGTAATCTTACAATAACCTAACCCACATTAATTGAGATAGAGTATCTGAAGTGAGGGAGGCAATGCTCCAATTCTGCCCCAAAGGATTGTAGTTTGCTCAGGGCCCTGTGTTCTCAGTGCATTCAGAGGTGTAGATAGAAAGAAAATATATTAAAAACGTGATAAATGCCTTGAAATACCTGAGGGGCTATCAAGTAGAAATTAGATTGTCATGTTTATGAGTGGCCCAATTGGACAAGATTAAGAATAATTAGAGGAGATCAGATTTTTACATAGTATAAGAAAAACTAGGGCTGGGCACAGTGGCTCACGCCTGTAATCCTAGCACTTTGGGAGGCCGAGGCGGGTGGATCATGAGGTCAAGAGATCAAGACCATCCTGGTCAACATGGTGAAAACCTGTCTCTACTAAAAATACAAAAAATTAGCTGGGCATGGTGGTGCATGCCTGTAATCCCAGCTACTCAGAAGGCTGAGGCAGGAGAATTGCCTGAACCCAGGAGGTGGAGGTTGCGGTGAGCCAAGATCACGCCATTGCATTCCAGCCTGGGTAACAAGAGTGAAACTCCATCTCAAAAAAAAAAAAGAAAGAAAAACTAAGGTAGTGAGTTCCTGGTCATTGGAGCTGTTTGAGCCTAGGCCAGATGGCCCCATGGCAGGAATGTTGTGGAGCACATTCATATATAGGTTGTGAGAAGACAAGGCTGTAGGAACCCAAGGCTCCTCCCAACCCAGAGAGCTAAAAGTTTTTAAGTATCTTACTCATATGCTGCCTTTCTTGTTTTACCCCCACCACGACCCCATTGCCATCTGCACTGTAAGTCAGAGTAGGAAAATGCTAGTGTTATAGCCTTCCTGGAGATATGGAGATGAAATGGAGTAAAAGCAGTTGACTTCATCCTTACATTCTTTTTTTGAGATGGAGTCTCACTGTGTTGCCCAGGCTGGAGTGCAGTGATGTGATCTCTGCTCACTGCAGTCTCTGCCTTCCAGGTTCAAGCAATTCTCCTGCCTCAGTCTCACAAGTAGCTGAGACTATAGGTATGCACCACCACACCAGGCTAATTTTTGTATTTTTTATAGAGATGAGGCTTCACCATGTTGGCCAGGCTGGTTTCGAACTCCTGGCCTCAAGTGATCCACCTGCCTTGGCCTCCCAACATTCTTACATATTTATAGGGCTTTCCACAGACATTAGCTCTTGTATGACTTAGCCCAATTCCAGAATTGGCAATGCTAGGTAGGGTACAGGCTATCACTTCTGATTTCTGGGCAAAAGTGTTTTTTGTATTTGTATTTATTTATTTATGAGATGGAGTCTCACTCTGTCACCCAGGCTGGAGTGCAATGGCATGATCTCAGCTCACTGCAACCTCCACCTCCCGGGTTCAAGCGATTCTTCTGCCTCAGCCTCCTGAGTACCTGGGATTACAGGCACATATTACCACACCTGGCTAATTTTTGTATTTTTAGTAGAGATGGGGTTTCACCACGTTGGTCAGGCTGGTCTCGAACTCCTGATCTCGTGATCCACCTGCCTCAGCCTCCCAAAGTGCTGGGATTACAGGTGTGAGTCACTGCGCCAAGCCTGTTTTTATTTTTTTAATGCTATTCAAATCTGTTTAAATATGTGGGTGCTGTGAGACTATTTAGAATCCCAAGGTCACAGATGAGGTGAAACATCCTAGACCATGCGTCAGAAAACTTGAGTTCCTCATTAGTGAAAGAGGGATAAGAAAAAGACTTATTTTGTCCAGGCACAGTGGATCACACCTGTAATCCCGGTACTTTGGGAGGACAAAGTGGGTGGATCGCTGAGGTCAGAGGTTCAAGACTGGCCTGGCCAGCATGGCAAAATGCCATCTCTACTAAATACACAAAAATTAGCTGGGTGTGTTGGCACATGCCTGTAATTCCAGGTAATTGGGAGGCTGAGGCACGAAAATTGCTTGAACCTGGGAAGTAGAGGTTGTAGTGAGCTGAGATCGCAGCACCAATGCGCTCCGGCCTGGGTAATGGAGTGAGGCCAGGTCTTATTGTAGGATCAAATGAGATAACACCTGAAAGAACTTTGTAAATTGTATAGCATTATGCAAACAAGAAGAGGTCTCACAAGTAGAGGAAGGGTGGCCCTTTGGGAAAAAACTGCAATTGGGAGTGAGAGACCCTACCTTTGATCTCTGTGAACCTGTTTTTTAATATGTAAAATGGGGAAATGTTAATGATACTTAATATTTGGAGCTTTTGAGTCCATTAGATTAGGTAGGAGTGTTTGTTATTTCTTTTTAGGAAGACTAGAAATACGTCACTCCCTTTTTCTCCTCCATTCAAGCTTGATGGTGGGCGTGGAGTTGCTTACTATCAGTTCTTGTCCTGTCCAGCTTCACTAAGTTTGGTCTGGGGTCACATCTTAGCTGAGGAATGTGGTGTTCTGTGGTCCCTTCTCAACTTGGTTCTGTTCCAACTGAATGCTGTTGTTGTCACATTGCTGTAACAGAATCCAGCTAATGGACAGACTATCCAATGAATCTATTATGTTGGTGGTGGAGCTGGTGCAGAGAGCTCCAGAGCAGCTGTTGGCACTGACCCCACTCCACCAGGCAGCCCTGGCAGAGAGGGCACTACAAAACCTGGTAAGAGTCCACCCTACCAAACTGAGATTTGCTGCCCTGGGCAATTCTTGCTTCTCAAACAATGCTCTCTGACTGTCCCCCAAACCTCTACTTCTTGCTTTCTTGCTGCCAAACAGGTTCCTTTCTACAAGGCCCTGTTTTTGCCTCTGGGTTCTGTTCCTTGATAATCTGTTTCATGTTACTTGTCCATACCTCTTGGAGCCCAAGAAATCCCTTGGAGTCCACCTCCTTTCTGCCTACTCCTATGTGGGCTCATCGCTTTAGAAAGTGAACGAAGGCAGTGAGCATCATAGGGTGCTGAGTTGAGAGCAGGAGGGAGGGAGGGTCAGGGGGCTTGGTGTCTTGATCAAAGTGTCTGGTACTCTGAGTCAGAGGTGCATTGTCCAAGATCCAATGCTCCTCTCCAGGCTCCAAAGGAGACTGCAGTCTCAGGGGAAGTGCTGGAGACCTTAGGCCCTTTGGTTGGATTCCTGGGGATAGAGAGCACACGACGGATCCCCCTACAGATCCTGCTGTCCCATCTCAGTCAGCTGCAAGGCTACTGCCTAGGAGAGACATTTGCCACAGAGCTGGGATGGCTGCTATTGCAGGAGCCTGTTCTTGGGTATGGACCTTTGAGAACTTCAGATTCTAATTCATCCTATACCCAGTCCCTCAACCTCCATAATCAGTGGCAGTCTGTTCCATATTCTTAAGGTCCCTTGGAGCCCCCTGTTCCAAATCCTGGCATGTCCTCTTTCCCCTTTCTTGTCCTCACAGTTCCCCTCAGCTCCCCAGCCCCTGATCTTCTTCCTGTCCCCCAGGAAACCAGAGTTATGGAGCCAGGATGAAGTAGAGCAAGCTGGACGCCTACTATTCACTCTGTCAACTGAGGCAATTTCCTTGATCCCCAGGGTGAGATGAAGGAACAAGAGAAGGGAGTAAATGCATTGAGGGGACTGGTGAGCTGGTTATGGGGACCCATGGCCAAAGAGGGCAAAGGATGTGAAGCCTAGATCCGGGGGGAGACTGCGAAACAGAGACAGGACTTTATAAATATAGCTATAGCAGTAGGCCCTGACCTGTCCAGATCTCCCCACTCTCCTTCTATCTTCTCATGCAGGAGGCCTTGGGTCCAGAGACCCTGGAGCGGCTTCTAGAAAAGCAGCAGAGCTGGGAGCAGAGCAGATTTGGACAGCTGTGTAGGGGGCCACAGCTTGCTGCCAAGAAAGCAGCCCTGGTGGCAGGGGTGGTACGACCAGCTGCTGAGGATCTTCCAGGTGAAACTCCTCAAATACTCATATGTCCAGTAGGATGTACAGGGAGTATCAAAGTCTGGGTTCTACATGTGCGCTTCTCTGGGATTAGGTTTTCTAATTTATAAAGCACGGTTAGAGGTTAGAGTGATGATCTTCAAGTCTCTTCTAGTTCTAGAATTCTATAGCTCTGGGAGTTTGTAAACTATTAAATTTTCTTTTAAGTCCACAACTCCCATTTTCCTGCTCTCTTGTCTCTATAAACAGCTGACTCAGCTCTAGCTTGGCTAAGTGTGGAGCTCTCTGCTGGGGAGATCCCTAGAAGCTCTGAAGGAGGCATTGTGAGGCTAAAGAACTGGGTTTGAATTCAGCTCTGCCATTAAATGTCTGGGCAACATCCTTAGTCTTCCATCTATAAAACGAGGGACTTGGCATCTCCAATCACTTCTTCTTCTGTTATCTTCTAAGCCCTATAAATCTTGCCCTGTAATAATCCCTTGATCCCTACTTCCCCCAGTGCTCCATCCTCCAAAGGTTGGAAGGATCATTCCATCTACAGATATCTCTCTGGGCATATTTTAATATTACACTGACCTCCTGGCCCTGCCTTCCTTCTTCAGAACCTGTGCCAAATTGTGCAGATGTACGAGGGACATTCCCAGCAGCCTGGTCTGCCACCCAGATTGCAGAGATGGAGCTCTCAGACTTTGAGGACTGCCTGACACAATTTGCAGGAGACCCAGGACTTGGGCCTGAGGAACTACGGGCAGCCATGGGCAAAGCAAAACAGGTTAGGGATGGAGAGCCAACTGGGATCGGCCATGAGGAAGTTGTTTGGGTGTGATGTGGGACACAAAGAGAATAAAGAGTTGGATGAGAGGTGGGAGAAGCAGGAGATAAAAGAGTTAAAAGATTTGGGTCACAAGTAGGAGGTGAGGGGAGATAAATCCTGAGGAAAGAGAGCCAGTACAATGAATAGAGGGACAACAGGAGTAATTACCAAATTTTAATGCATATCACAATCATCAAGGGAACCAACTTTTTCCTTTATTTTCTTTTTTCTTTCTTAAAAAAATTATGGCATGCTTCACAAATTTGCATGTTATACTTGCACAAGTGCCGTGCTAATCTCTTTATTATTCCAATTTTTTTGTATATGTGCTGCTGAAGCAAGCATGGAACAGGTTTTTTTTTTGTTGTTTTGTTTTGTTTTAAGATGGTGTCTCACTCTGTCACCCAGACTGGAGTGCAATGCTCACTGCAATCTCTGCCTCCTGGATTCAAATGATTCTCCAGCCTCCTGAGTATCTGGGATTACAGATGTGCACCACCACACCCAGCTAATTTTTTGTACTTTTAGTAGAGACAGGGTTTCACCATGTTGGTAGGGCTGGTGTCAAACTGCTTACCTTGTGATCGGCCTCCCAAAGTGTTGGGATTATAGGTGTGAGCCACCGCACCTGGCTGGGAACAGGTTTTTAATGCCGATGCTGGATTACCACGCTAGAATGACTTAATAAAAACCTCTGGGAAGCTGGGCGCAGTGGCTCATGCCTGTAATCCCAGCACTTTGGGAGGCTGAGGCACGTGGATTGCTTAAGCCCAGGAGTTTGAGACCAGACTAGGCAATATGGCGAAACCCTGTCTCTACTAAGAACAGAAAAAAAAATTAGCTGGGTGTGGTGGCACACACCTGTTATTCCAGCTACTTGGGAGGCTGGGGTAGGAGAATCCCCTGACCCCGGGAGGTGGAGGGTGCAATGAGCCGAGATCACACCACTGCACGCCAGCCTGGGTGTCAGAGCAAGACCCTGTCTCAAAAATAAATAAATAAATAAATAAATAATCAGTCGATCGGTCATTCAGTCTCCGGGAGAAAGAGTCCAGACATCTGCTTTTTTTTTTTTGGAAACAAACTCTCTGTCACCCAGGCTAGAGTGCAGTGTTGTGATCTCTGCAACCTCTACATCCTGGGCTCAAATGATCCTCCTGCCTCAGCATCTCAAGTAGCTGGGACTACCGGTGCATACCACCACACCTAACTAATTTTTGTATTTTTGGTAGAGGTGGGGTTTCACTATGTTTCCCAGAATGGTTTCGTACTCCTGGGCTCAAGCATTCCTCCCAGCTCAGCCTCCCAAAGTGCTAAGATTCCAGGTGTGAGCCACAGTGCCAGTCCTCAGGCATCTGCATTTTAATAAGTGTCTCTGTGTCTGATGCACATAAAAGTTGAGAACTCATGGACTAAAGTTAGTTTGCTCTTCTTTTCTACTGACTCTAATGTCTTTGAAAATAACTTAGTCAGAGGAACTGTAAGGCAACTGCCTCATTTTATAGTGGAGGAAACTAACAAAAAGGCAAGTGACTTGCCTGGAGTTACACAGCTAAGGGTAGAGGCAAGACTTAAAACCCAGCATTCTGACTCCCAGTCCACTGCTTTTCCACTCACATTGTTCCTCTCTTTCTCCTAGTTGTGGGGTCCCCCCCGGGGATTTCGTCCTGAGCAGATCCTACAGCTGGGTCGGCTCTTAATAGGTCTAGGAGATCGGGAACTACAGGAGCTGATTCTAGTGGACTGGGGAGTGCTGAGCACCCTGGGGCAGATAGATGGTTGGAGCTCCACCCAGGTAATACTTTTTATCCTCCCTATCATTTCCCAAACACCCATCCTACAGACCCAGCCCTCTAGATCATCTGAAGCCCAAGGAATTTTTCCCTGTGACCCTATCTGGTCATTCTTTCTATCTTTTCTTAATACCCCATGCTAGTGACCTTCAGGACTCTGATTTATTCACTCTGAGGTCCTGGACACATAGTACTGTCTCCTGCCTCTTTTCCCAGAGGCCTCCTCTTTTTCTATCCTTTTCTTTTTTGAATCCTCAACCTTCCCCAAGGCACTTTAGGTCTTAATAGTAACAGGCTATAACCCATTAACACCTATCACTTCCCTAATCACTTCCCTGTCCATTAATTCTCCATACTTTTCTCCTTTCCCTCTGCCCCTAACCCCTGCCCCAGCTCCGGGTTGTGGTCTCCAGTTTCCTACGGCAGAGTGGTCGGCATGTGAGCCACCTGGATTTCATTCATTTGACAGCACTGGGTTATACGCTCTGTGGACTGCGGCCAGAGGAGCTACAGCACATCAGCAGTTGGGAGTTTAGGTCACTTGTGAAGGGGCTGAGGGTGGTGGTATTGAGGTAAAGGTGGACTTACTGGGGAAACAAGGGTCATGAAGGTGTGGTCCCATGGAAGAAGGGAACTCATTTGAAGCCATCTCTTCCTTTGTCTCACGACCACAGTCCCTTTTGCTGAAGCTGAATTCTTCTTCCTTCCTTCCCACTCTTCTACAGCCAAGCAGCTCTCTTCCTGGGCACGCTGCATCTCCAGTGCTCTGAGGAACAACTGGAGGTTCTGGCTCACCTCCTTGTACTGCCTGGTGGCTTTGGCCCAATCAGTAACTGGGGGCCTGAGATCTTCACTGAAGTTGGCACAATAGCAGGTGGGAAGCTGGTATAAGTTGGTTTGGTTTCTATACCATGGATGGACTGAGTGGAAAACTGCCCCACAATTCTTAGGTGGGGGCCTGAGAAGGTATTTAGGTAAGGAGCTGGAGACATATTGGGGAAGGTCTGCAGTAGGGCATTTTGGGAGTAGTTAGAGAGGTCTATAGGTTTGAAGAGAAGGAACATCAGTCTAAGACAATGTTTGGATGCCACTTGCTTCAACAGCTGGGATCCCAGACCTGGCTCTTTCAGCACTGCTGCGGGGACAGATCCAGGGTCTTACTCCTCTTGCCATTTCTGTCATCCCTCCTCCTAAATTTGCTGTAAGTATTAATGGACTGGGATGACCACAGGAGAGCCAGGGCCCAACAGGGACTACATGCATGCACTGATTCCTACCCCTGCCCCTAGGTGGTGTTTAGTCCCACCCAACTGTCCAGTCTCACCAGTGCTCAGGCTGTGGCTGTCACTCCTGAGCAAATGGCCTTTCTGAGTCCTGAGCAGCGACGAGCAGTTGCATGGGCCCAGCATGAGGGGAAGGAGAGCCCAGAACAGCAAGGTGAGTTCCCAGCTGCACAGTTTGACCCTCCATCTCCTGACCCAGAATCAGACCCCAGGGAGATCCCTGGAATGAAGGAGTCTACAGGCAGAGAGCTAATTTCCAAGTATCAATGCTCCTGGAGAGCAGAGTTGTGATATTACTTCCATTCTCTGTCTATTATAGGTCGAAGTACAGCCTGGGGCCTCTGGGACTGGTCACAACCTTCCTGGTCCCTGGTATTGACAATCAGCTTCCTTGGCCACCTGCTATGAGCCTGTCTATACAGTAGAAGGAGACTGTGGGGAGAGAAATCTTAAGTCATAAAGAATAAAGTGCAAACAGAAGTGCATCCTGATTATTCTCAGAAGCTGATGAGGAATATGGGTAAAATGTTAATGCTTTCCACCCACCTGAGAATCAGTGTTCCTGGCATGCCATAACTGGAGTCTCTTTCCATCATAAATAATCCCACTGCCTCTTTTCATTTCCTGAAAGCTGCTCCCTCCTCACCCCACCATTAGAAAAAACACAGACAACTGCAGTATAGCAAGGAGTCTTTACTAGGATGGAGGCAGGGGATGCGGGGGCAGGTCCGGAGCAAAGTAGAATGAGCCCTCCTTAGAATGAACAGAACTCCTGGGAATCCTGAGTCATCAGCTGGCGATGGGGAGTTAATGCTTGGTGTGGATGAGAGGTGCGGGGATGCGGATATCCTGGCCTCTCTCCAGACGCCGCTCACAATCAATCAAATAGTTTACTCCATCGATGACCAGTTGCACCAGCTCCACCTGAAGGACACTAATCCTTGATATCTGTTTTCTACAATCTGAGTTTTTCTTTAGCACTGACTGACTTGCCTGCTCATTTCCAATTGCCTCCCCACTCAACCTGAATTTCATTTCAGATTCTGTTAACATTCCTGAGGCTTACTCACTGCCATGTTTCAGCCCCCACAGACCTATACTGCTCCTCACCCTAATCCCTTAGGATCTCACCTCTGATTTGCCTAGTCGGTCCAAATTAGAAATGTCAAAGACACCGCCTGTGGCAGCGGTGTCCACCCCTCCAGTACCACGCTTTTGGAGTCTTAGGTTCTCCAGGATCTTTGGGAAGCGGCTGTCCTGGAGAGGAGATAGGGATTGAGAGCAGGGTCAAGGCAGAGACTAGTCCTACCTGAAAGAGCCCTAAACCTGCTCAGAGCTGTCTCCTGGCCCTTTTCCTTTTTTTTTTTTAAAGACAGGGTTTCTTTCTGTCACCCAGGCTGGGAGTGGTCATAGCTCACTGCAGCCTTGACTTCCTGGGCTTAGACTTAAGTGATCCTCTCACCTCAGCCTCCACCACACCTGGCTAATTTTTGTATTTGTAGTAGAAATGGGGTTTCATCAGGTTGCCCAGCTGGTCTTGAACTCCTGGGCTCAAGTAATATGCCTGCCTTGGCCTCCCAAGTGTTGGGATTGCAGGCATGAGCCACTGTGCCCAGCCGGTCTCCTCACCCTTTAGCCTTTCCAAAGGGTCCACTCCCTCCCCATCCACAACCCACCCTTCCTTACTCATACCCCTCTGTAACCCCACAACTCCTTTACTTTGCTTAGCAGGGGCAGTTTGATGTGCACTCCTGCCCGAAGTCCAGTGCCCAGGTTAGATGGACAGGTCAAGATGTATCCCAAACGCTCATTCCACATGAACTCCCAGCCACGTTCTTGGATAAGTCGCTCCACCTGAGTCCACAAAGGTTTTGTTAACGAAAAATCAGGGAGATTTTCATTAACCCTGGACCCTCCCTTAGCTAGACACACAAGAACACTAGAAATATGTCTAGAACAGAAACTTGGCTGTGAATGAATGACAATGCTCTTTTTCTTCGGTGAAAATGGTTTGTTATTATTATCATGCATGTGTGATGCAAAATTATGATGTGAATAATAATGAGATTGTGAAAATATGTGGAAGAAAAACTCAAGGGGGTGGTGTATTAAGGATGATCTAGGAAAATGAACAGAGGTGGTAAACAACTGAGAAAGGATTGATTATTCAATGAGTTATACATGCATTGATAATCTTTGCTTTGCTAATGAGTCTAGAGCTTGGAAGGGTCCTTTCAGGCAGAAAATGAAGGTGTAAGCTTTGTTAGGAAGAGGTAAGAGAACCTTCTGTTAGCTGTGAAAGGAACACGTGTGAAAGCAGAGAAGACGAAAACAGAGCAGAAAAGCCAGATTCATAGGAATGGGGGGCAGGGGAAGGCGTTTTGCTTCACTTAACCATGTAGTCATCAAGGTGACTATTAGACTTGAAGAGACAAGGGATCTACCAGAATACAGGTCACAAAGACCACTACCCAACATGAGTAAAGGGATCCTGATTACAGTTCAGAAAGAACCATGGCATAGGGGAATATCTTACATGTTGAACATGGGGAAACCCTTCCATCTAGAATAATAATGCAGCTAACACTTTAACACTTATTAAGCACTTACTGTGGACCAAGTACTTTACCTGTATTTCATTTAATCCCCACAACAACCTAAAATGTAGAAAATCTCATTATCCCAATTTTACAGATGAGGAAACTGAGGCATATAATTTAAAGTTACTTCCTTACCCACTCATAGTGAGAATATGTTATCTATTACTTGCCAAAAATAGTAGAAACTGCTCAGAATCTAAAAGTGGAGCTCTTTTTTCTTTGCAAGCCTAAAATAGAACTGTATGTATGAGAACATACAGTAAGAACTGGCTTTATGGGGTTTTCTAATGTAGACTTCAATATGGAGAACCAATCTATGTAGGATTGAGGATTAAGTTCAACCTCTCATCTACAGCCACACATTCTAGAACTCAAACCATTCTATCCTCCACCTTCCCCAGTCTCCCTCCCAACTCTCAGCTTAAAGCCTAGACACGGTACTTCAGCAAGAATGATAGAATCCAGAGACAAGGCCTACCTTGGATCAGAACTGGGTAGTTATAATAGAGTCATGAACACAGCAACCTCTCCCCACCAACATCAATCTAAGCTCAAATCATCTCCTTATCTGCACACTTCACCATCCCACACCACACATCCCAGGCACTGACCTGCCTTCTCGGTTATTCCTTCTTTGCATTATCTGGCAACTGCCTTATTCATGTCCTAAGGTTCCTGATATTCTTTCTCTCTTCCTAATCTTAGGGTGATCACATGTCCTGGTTTTCCCAGTATAGTCCCAGCTGGTTTATTCTTTTAGTCCTAGAGTGATTAATGGCAACCCTTTTTACTATCAGACATGTCCTGGATTGGTTTACAAATGACATAATCTATTTATGCTACTCTTCGATTTTCCTTTTGTCCTCCCACCTAGCAACCCTACACACTCTTCTCCAACCTCTTTGAGGCCTCGGCAGAATCTTTCAAACACTCTTTTCATGTTGCCGCCCTTCTCCATGGAGATGACCCGTGTATGATCCTCCTCATTCACCCAGATCAGGAAGCTCTTCTCATTGTTGTGCCTGAGGGCCGGAGAAGGACAGTGATCAAGAGGCAAGGCAAGAATTGAGAGAGACAGAGGGGAAAAAAGCATTTATGAGGGCGTGAATACAAAAGAGGTAAGAAGCAGCCTCATACCAAATTCCACGAGCATCTGGCCAGTCTCGAGCCATTCCTGCGGCAGTCAGCAATGGGGACACAGGCTTATCAAACAGAAAATGGTCCTGGGAAAAGTAAAGGGACTTGGGTTAAGAATCTTAATGGTGGCCCCTGGACCTCTCAGAGCCCATGTCTCATCTGGCCCAGGCTCCCCTCTGGCTCTTTTCTCCATCTGCTCCCCCAACCCAGCTCCCTCTTAAGGCCCTCACATCAATAAGCTGCTGCTGTTCAGCCTCTGTCATCTCACTGAGCCTATAGTAACGTCCAGCCAGGTCACCCTTCAGGCCACTCAGTGCTTCCACCACAACACGTTCCACCTCACGTCGCTCTGCTCGCGTGCAAGCTGGTGGCAGACTGAGTCCTCGGATGCTTCGGCCAGTTCTCACTCTCGACGATAATACATACCTCTCATCAAAGTAGCCAGAACGGATCTGAGAAATAAGGAAAATGAATATAAGTCACAGAAACACAGTGGGTGGGAACTGAGGGCCCCTGGGAAAGGAAAGACCTTCCTTAGGGATTTGAGGACTCTTTGTGTATTCTTCCTGTGTGCATTGGAAGAAGAGGCTCATTGGGAAAACACTCCAATTGAAGGGGGCCTTGCAGACCCTTCCCCAAACTGCTTATCTTGGGGCCATGGTCATTCTTATCTATCCTTAATCTCCATATATGCTGCTCCTGAAGATAGGATTCTTTCCTTACATTAAGATTAAAAGCTCAGCAGTATAATGACCATGAGTTAGGAAATAAGGTGAAGGGATTGGAGATACAGAGTGTTGTACACAGGCAATGCAAATCAGAAGTGGAATATTTAAACATACCTTACTGGCATCCAGATCAGTGGTGTGCTTCATTGTCCGGGGATCATATCCATTGTGTCGCTCTTGGATCACAGGGTCAAAGAGGTCAGCAAATACCTAAGGGGAGTTAAGAGGGAGAGATGGTTAAGGAGAGGAAATCCCTCCCCAGGCTTCAATTGTGCATTGATTTCACTGGGTCAGAAAACTCCGAGTCTTGGGGGAAACTGAGAGGTCTTTAGGGAGAAGGATTACTGGGATTACTGGGAAGATGAGTTGGATCACCAGGGAGACTCTGGGGACCCCCTACCTCATAGGTCTCCTCATCTCCAGCCACCATGCCCACAGTCTTGATGAAGGGGTGGCCGGGGTTGTCCACGCCAGTCTGGATACACTGATCTAGCGTCCAACCAGTGGGTGTGGTCTTGTCGCAGAGCCGTGCATAGACTGCTGGGGTCAGGTGACTGGCCATGCAGTTGTTGTGCTTTCGGAGGTCTGGGTACTCAGCACTAGGGAGGGGGTACCCAGTAACCATGGAGGGAGGGCACAGCGGCCTAGACCTAGTGCAGTTACCTGGGAGCTGTCCACTTGGCCATGACTGGCTTTGCTCCGTGGGAGGAGGGGGAATTAGAAAGAGGCTAAACCTTGGTAATCTCTTTAGGTACTTTCAGAGTCTATTCTTTCCTAATAGTTCTAGTTGCCTCTGGCTAGCCAGCTCAGTTTCTCCAGATCTGCTCAGTTCTTTCCTTCCATGACACAACACTAGGGATGGAGGAGGGGAAAGACTAAGGAGAGGAATTGAAGAAATGAGGGAAGGAGATGGAGTGGAGCGAAAAGAATAGTTCCTGGCTTAACAATTAGGGATTTGGGCAGCAAGTGCAGCTAGAACTCGCAGGGCCAGAGCTGGTCTTGACAGGTCCCCAGGAATGTTCTTGCTTTATGGTTTTGGCCCCCACCCCCACCCCACTGAGGTCTGCAGACTGTACAGCCCTCCAGCTCCAGGGCCTTCGTGATTATAGCCCTTCTCTGTTGCCCGGATTCTCATTTCTACCCGCACCTTCATTCCCATCACCACCTGCCCCCGCCCCCTCCCGCGCCTCAGGCACTGTTACCTCGGGGGATACAGCCTCCGTCGTTCACTGGCCGCTCGTACAGGTTCCGGTCGGAGCAGAAATCCAGCGGCTAGAGACCCCGCTCCGGCCAAAGCCAGGAGCCTGAGTCCCGGGCGGGCGGACAGCAGACGGGAGAAGGGACCAGCCATGGCTTGAGGGTCTGGCTACGGGATGGCTACGGGATCCTGGAGTAGGCGCTGGCGCAAGGCAGGATCCGGAACAGGGAGGGAGGATGCAAGCGGATAGACTGAGGGCCGGAGCTAGGTCCGAGGCTGCAGCCGAGATGGGGGTCGGAGTGGAGGTTAGAGCCGGAATAGGAGCCGGTACCGATCAGACTGCAGGAGAGGCGCAATGAGCTAGTGGCAGGCGGGCAGGCGGGAGGAGGCGAGGGAAGCCCCAGCCGCAGTCTTCAGGGGTGGGGCTCCCCTAGGCCCCGCCTTCCCGCCTGCCACAGCGCTAGGTACGTGGGGGCAGGGGTGGGCAGCATCCGCCAGGTAATTAGCTGGGCCTGAGACTCGCGCGCCTAAAACCCGGGGTGAAAGCCCCCCGGGATGAGGTCGCCCAGATTTCAGCACCAAGTAGAGGACAGCACCCACGTGGACTAGCTAAACCCCAATACCCTTCCCCCAAACCCCTCGATTTAAGCCGAAACCCGATCCTTCTACACTGTAGGTGTGCAAGGGTGACATTGCCGAACTTCTCTGCTTCTGGCCTGCCTCAGCCACCTCTCCCATCTCCCGGGGCAGTCGCGAGGAAACCGCGGAATAAACACAGATAGCAGAGGAGGATATGGAGAAAGCACAGGGTTAGAGGCAGGCACTGGGAAAGACACCCACTGGTTCAAGGTCACCTTTTCCTTAGAACCAGGAAGAAGACCAGGGTGCTTCCTTGCCACCCCTGTGCGCTCCTTACAAGGTTGAGAAAGGATTCCCAGGGAGGAACCAGGGAAATATTAACTCTTAGGCCATCTGTGTTGTGTCCTCCACCTCCATTCTGCGTCCAAGTCTGAAGCCCTGTTATTCCTGCCTTTACTTCTCATGATACCCCGCTTTTTTTCCTTTTGTCTCTCCCACTTTCCTCCCCGTCCCCTACCTCACCTTTGATCTTTTACTTCTCTGCGTCTTTTCCAGGCTCAGACCTGTTTGCTACTCTCAGGACGTCCTCTGTGTATTCTTGGCAAGCTTGCCCACCTGTTGGTTGTGCTGGGTGTGGGGCTGTGGTTGGACAAAGAATTGTTAGTTTCCTCTTCCTCCTCTCCCTTCACTTCTCTCTCCGGAGTTCCTAGTTCCTGGGCTGGAGGAGAACGTGAGAAAGTGAGGTGAAGGGTGTGGTGAGATGACTGGGTGTGGGACTGGAACAGGCAGGCACAGGTCTCCAGACAGCACATGTGTTTCCTCTCTTGGCTCCCTAATGCTGTTTAATCCAGAGTGTAAAGGCGAGTGGTGTACAAGGGCATGAGGTCATCAGGGAGTCTCTGCCTCTCTGATGGTCCCCTCTCCTGCTCTCTCTCCTCATAAAACGCATATTCAGATTTGAGAGGGCTGTGTTTCCCAGCTCCACGTATGACTCGACCTTTGTCCTGGTAGCAAAGAGAATGAATGCTATAGTTGAAATAGAGATGAGGGGCTTCTGTGTGGAGGATCAGTTAAGATGGAGTAGCACGGTGGCGTTAGTCCCTTCCCTCTGCTATCCTGGTGTACCCACAAGACAGTAAGATACTTGGAAATCTTAAGAGAGAGTATTTGGGAAACAGAATTCCCTTCACATCAAGTATTTCCCACACTACTCTCATTCCCTTCATTCCTTCTAGGCCTCCTTTGTGTCTTTTCTTTTTTCTACCTTCTTCATTTGTGGGTATTCTTAGAAGTGCCCACTTGTCTCTTGGGTCCATGTCTTCTTCTCCTGGAAAGACATCAATTATTAGAGAACAGAGTTATGTTTCTGCAATGTGGAAAATGTTACCTGTGTTGTGAGGCCTCTTTAACTAGGTTAAAAAATAGCCATGGGTAAATAAATATAATTTCTTAGAATAGCATGTATTTATCCAGGTAAATAGGGAGATAATCTTTCAGAGCAGTAAGGTTGCTATTTGATTGAGAGGGTGGTTACTAAGATTAAGGAGGTAGGGAGTGGGAAGAGATAATTACAGAAGGAGAAATAAGACAGCCAGAGAAGTAAGAGAAATTACCCAAGTTTAGAGAGTAGCTGCCCAAATTTGAACAATAATTCAATAATTCCCCAGGGAAAACACATGTACATGTGCACTTTTCTTATCCCTTATGTGCCTTTGACAGGCATATAATATATCAATACTCATTAAAAAAACGTATTCTACAGCATATGGAAGTAATCAATATATGGCATTGATATATGGTATGTTATTTATTTAATAAGAACTATTGTCAATAGTGTTTTTTTTTTTTTTTTTTTAGATTTTTATTTCATTTAAAAACAACAAAAAATACTTTTATCTTA